ACCAACTAGGCCTAATCTAGTTAGTCACCAAAACTTTTTTAAGTGCTTCCCTAAGGAGAGGTCATGGGTTCAACTCTCATTAGAGGAGTTGAATTAAGGAGGCAAGCACTCTTTAGGGATACTAACTCCCATATGTGCAAATCTAACAACTAACAACTGACTTTCAGTGATAAAAAAAAGGGGGGTTTGTAGTTACACTTTTCATGGTTGTGGTTTTATTTAAATTGCACTTTAGTCTTTATAATTTTAAATTGAATATTTTGGTTCTTACATTTTAAGTGTAGTTTCAATTCGGCCATTTCATCCAAATTGAAGGTTAAAATTAATAATTTTGGGACATTTCTCAATTTTCTAAAGTATATACATAGACAAAATTAACAAAAATTTAGAAACAAAGACCAAATTGAAATTGGATTTACAGTCTACAGACCAAATTGTTCAAATTAAAATAATAGGGACCAAAGTGAATTGAATTTTTTTTAAAAAAATAGGGCAGAAATGTGTAATTAACACATAATTTATTTACATCAATAACACCAATATTTATAGGATGAAGAAAAATCATTATATAGTCTCAAATTACTATTCACAATGTTTATGTAATGCTTCAAATAAGGAACTGCAAAATACGTTATATGGGTCATACGTTGTCTCTCACGTATTTAATAAAGACAAGTTACGTAAAATTTTCTATACACAATACTCGGCCACTACTGAATAAGAAAAATAATATCCACAAATTCAATCATATACCATAATTTATGGAGCAATACACAAATCATTTATTGACACAATGAATAATTTCTTCAGGTATAGTCTATGTGACTACAACCCAAAGGTCTTCACGCTTGACCTTGCAAATTCTGCAAATTCTGAAACCATTGAGGCATCTGAAGTTCATGCAATGTTTTCAGGGATGGCTTCTCCATTGATCATTGTGGTGGAAAGAAAGCTATATGTCCTTGCTGGAACACCAGTCTCTATGCTGCCAGAGTGTCCTTTTGTGGCACTTGACTTCGAAACAAACGCTTGGGAAAAACTTCCTAGTCCTCCTTTTCTTACACCTGACTCTAAGTTCTTCCAAGACCCTCAATTCCGAGCCTATGTTGTTGTCGGTAAAAAGATTCATGTATCGACTTCTAGCTCTTCCTTTACTTTTGATACGGCAGCAAAGGAATGGGCACCTTGCACTTTTTTTGGTGTAGATCATCATCTTGATATTCGATACCCTACTCACTTTGAGTGGATGACATATCCTCTAAATAATGACAAAGACAAACAAGGTTCTGGTTTTCCATTCGACTTTGATGGTGGTGCTGTAATGTATGATGAGGATGTTTTGATTTGCTTTGTTCCATCTAAAGGGGTTGTTGCTTATGAATTGGTTGATGGGAAGGTAATAAATCCCCAAGTGTTGAAACGCTTGAAAATCCCACTTGATGTAACATTTGCCTACTTGGCTGATTTCGGGGAAGGGTCCTTCTATCTTTTGACTGTTTCCAACGTCGATCAACCAAAACAGCATTGTCAGATTTGCATTGGATCCTTTGAAGTTTCTAAAGTCAAGAATGGATTACGCAAGCCAAAGTTCTCGAGAGTCAAAAAATTGACCCCTCCCACTGAACAACTTCCAGCGGACAAGATTTGGAGACCCATTGGATGCTTTGAAGTGTAATTATCTTCTTCATCTTCATTGTTCTTCGTTATATCATACCTATGTCAAGTCTCTTTCATTCCCACCCGAGGGTAGTGGTCGTGTGTCATAGAGTCTATCTCCTTGGGGCTTTTTTTTTATTTTTATTTTTGGGTGGGTAGGATGTAATGGGTATAAGTCTAGCTTGGCTTTACTAGGAGAGGGAGATTCATATCCATTAATCCATCACTGACTTCTTCCTATTATGCCCTTGGTGGGGCTGATAGTGTCGGTCGTTATGTTTCAAACCCATCTTGAATAAGAAGAGTCTGAATTATCCACATTTTCAAGCCTATTTATCATCTATAACAGTATTGTGGTACCGTATTTGTTATTCCTCTTGTCTTCCTTTACAGTTGAAGGAAATTCAGATCATATTGGTTGTGATCGTGGTCGTGTTGTAACTGTCCTATTCAGTTTGCGTCTTTTTAACGAGTCATATCTATATTTTTCATCCTATTTAGTGTTATGTGAACTTTAATAATTTTGAGAAACATTTCCATGGGTTTTGGAACCGTATTCCCCACTCTTGTAAACAACTGCCACCCCATAAAATTTGGAGTCACGGTTGGTTTTTCTGTAATGTTATTGTCTTCATCTTTGTTGTTCTGTGCTATATCATCATTATGTTAAACCTCTGTAATTTCCACCATAGTGGTGACCATGTGGTAGAGCCTATTTCCGGAATTTTATTTTTTTTAGTTTTGCAGTAAGTTTAACTTTTCTCTAGCTTTGCTAGGATAGGAAGATTCGTGTCCATTAATTCATAGATGACTTCTTGTTATTGTGTTTGGTGGAGTTGATTGTGTCAGTCACTATGTTTAAAGCCCGTCTTGAAGAAGAATCTACAAATTATTCACCTTTTTAGACCTATTTAGCCTCTATGAGGGTATTATGGTCATACCCAAATTAGGTTGTGGTATAACATCAATTGTTCCTCTCATCTTGCTTTACAGTTAGGGGTAAATTGTGTTTCGGTTGTGGTCGTGGTCGTGTTGTATCAATCGTATTCAGTTCATGTCTTCTTGTATATATGTTTTCATATTATGTGAATGTTAATAATTTGAAGAAACATTTCCATGAGATATGGAATCATGTTCCCTACTCTTGTATGATTTTTTATTATTGCTTTTTTTTTTTTTTTTTTTTTTGCAAACCATGTGTAATATATTATCGTGTGTAATTCAATAAATGGTTTGGTTCCATAGTTATCTTTTTACAATTTGCTACTTTTGTTTAAATTTTAGTATGAATGCACTATCACTTATTCTAAAGACAAAGTTTCAACTATGTAGTGACACTCAATATTCTTTCCACATCGATTGTAAGCCCTTTAGGTAAGAAATAGATAGCGTCTTTCACCTTACCATTGTTTGGCTGGTCATTTTTAGTATTTAAGGTGAATTGACACTTGCAAAATTCATGTTGGGTATTCCTTTCTACTAGTATCACTTCCACTTGTTCAAAAGAAAAAAATTTGGTACCAAGCAACACACTTAGCAGTTGTTCAAGATCGAAACTCTCACCAAAGGTTCACAAACAATTTTACAAATTATTAAAGCAATCAATAAGTACAAGAATGTAAGCAATAACTCCCCATGAGTGGATATAATACAATGAAGCACAAGTACACAGAGTCTTTATGAACAAGGATTTAAAAACTTGAATCTTTTGAATAATTTGAAGGGATTGATATCATCCTATTCCGAAAACAATTTCCAGTAATGATTCTACCATATGAGAAGGGATTGATATCATCCTATTCCCAAAAGAATTTCAACACTTCCAATAAAATAAAAAAATGTGTACACATTAGAAGCTAAAGGATGGACAACTTACATCAAAATATACATGGAGAAACTAGAAAATGTAGTTAACACTAACAAACAGATACCAAAAAAAAAATTTTAAAGAAAAAAAAAAATCAATATCACCATTTTCCAAGAATTTGACATCCCAAACACAACCAGGATGCTCTCTACTTTGGACACAAACTCCATCTGCAACACAAAACCATTTCTCAGGTAAAAAAACAACATTAAATGAATAAATCTGAAGATTTAAAATGAGAAAAGAAAAGCATAACACGAATGCTAGTAACCAGTGATTATTTCAAACACACAGTTTTTGTTTTCGAAGTATTACTATATTAAAAGATGAAAGGAGCTGCTCACTTCAAATAAATTTGTGGTTATAAACTTAATTCTCGTAACCAGTGATCAATATAATAATAAAAAACATAGTTTCAGGTACTCCATTTGCTATAGAAGAAGTGTACAACTATAATACAAAAAGAAGGGAGCTGCTACCTCCTTATGCGTCTTATTCTTCACCAAAAAATTGCTTTTCATTCTATCCGAACCTTTTGAAGGAATAACTATATAACAGCTACCTCAAATTTGCCCACCATTATGTTAGGGACACTGATTGTGGCCGCCTCCTCTGCATCATCTTTTGACTTCTTTACAATTATAACATGAGCTCATTCTACACACACACACACACACACATATGTTATGTGGTTAGTTTACCTTTAACCCTTCACTTGCCACAATGCCTGCTATGCCTTGAGCAAACCCAACCCACACCAGATTCCATCACAGCAGCAACAAGAAAAACTAATATTACACTCAGACATCAGCACAAAAACACCTAAATTCATCACAGCAGCACAACACAAAACCAGCATCAGCTGAGCAAAACAGGCCCACTGAGCCATTGTTTCTGTTAGACACCATACCAATTCTGCTATTGGCTGACACTACAGGAAAAAGGAGATATGGTGGCGCTTTTTTAATGACGTTTTTTTAAACGTCACTGTTATTAGTATTTAACGACGTTTTATAAACGCCGCATATTCTATTAAACAAAACAACACCGTTTTACGATGGGAGGTGCTTAAAAACGCCTCCAAATGCGGTAGCCACACACGCCTCCTTTTGTGAAACCTTATTTTGAATCAGAACCCTCTCTAAGCGTATTATACAAAACGATTTCGATTGAAGATTCAGAACTCTCTCTCTCTCTCAACCCTTAATACGCACACATCTCTATCTCCCTCTCAACCCTCTCAAAGCGATTTCGAAGCTCCATCAAAGATTTAGATCGAAGTTCCATCAAAGCGATTTCGAAGCTCCATTGAATATCCATATCTAAGCTTCACCGAAGATTCAGATCGAAGCTCCATCGAAGCGATTTCGAAGCTGCATCGGCGATGTAGTGAGCTCCACCGTCTCATTTGCAAAGATTCAGAGATTCAGTGATTTCTAGAAGCTCAGATCTAAACTCTGAACCCTCGATTACTAGCATTTCAAGCTCCAATGGCGACGAATAGTCTACTTTGTTTCTGAACTTTAATCGGTACTCTCTCTCTCTCTCTTCTCGGTTTGTTCATGTAGACAAATTGTCCTTTCATTTGACTGCATTTGTACATGCTATTAGTTGGCTGTAGTTTCTCTCTAGCTCAAAACTAGTATTTGATTTGGATGTCCCGTGGAGTTGAATATGTACATTTTGAGTTTCTAGGGCTTCTTGAGCTTGTTGAGCTGCGCGGTCTTTTCTCTCTCTACACTGTTTTGAGAGGAAGAGAAATAGAGAAAAATGGCGGCACATGAAGCTCCTATTTGCTACGTCGAAATCGCGAGAAAGTATGCCGCTTTCCGTCTCATGAAACAAATGGTTAGTCCTCTCTCTCTCTCTCTCTCTCTCTATATATATATATATATATAGCCAGTATAAGATTACCAAAAAAAATTAAAAAAAAATTGAAAATTCAGGACACGGTTGCTTCAGCTCAGGTTTGAATCTGTATGTATGTGTAATGTGTGTGTGCGATGAATTTTGATGGTGTGGAGATGGAATTGTGTTGTAGGGGTGGGAAGAAGACGAAGGGCTTGGGAAAGAGAAGCAAGGCATCAAAGGATATGTCAGGGTTAAGGACAAACAGGACACTGCAGGTTCTTTTTTTGCTCTGATTTTTGTTTATTTATCAAATTCATCCTCTATTTTGTTGCCTAGAACAGGGAGTTCTTTTATTTTTATTTTTTTAATTATCTTATGAATCAAAGGAGCTAATAAGGTTAAACTTGTTGTGGGATGATTTTTTCATTTATTAGAAGAGTAAGAACAGTTCAAGACATATAGAGCATATTGACAGTTTAAAAATTACAACAGGTATTGGTGTAGATGAACCCAAAAATAATTGGGCGTTTGATACATCATAGTTTGACAACATCCTAAAGAGATTGAAAGTGGTAATTCTCACATTTATCTTCGAATTAGATTTAATAAGCTTTAAAAAAAATTTTGTTCTTATGTTTTTCTGTCTGTAAATCTTTCTTTTTATTTTTGCAGCAAGCAGCAAAAATCAAGGATGAAGGTACATCAAGATGAAAATGAATTTAGATTGCACTTAATAATATCATGATAGTTTGATGTGGATCCTTTTTGTATACACCTTGCAGCTGTTGAAAAGGATGATGTTCAAGATGTTGATACTGAAGCCACCACAGAGACTAATACAGTTGTCAAGTCTACTCGGCCCCAAGGAAGGTCAATATGGTTTCCTACATCAATGCTAGATCTTTTTTTTTTTTTTGAAATTTATGTACTTGTTTATTTTTGTTTCCTTCTTTAATAATCACCAGATAGAAAGAAATTGGCTAAAAAATCTGAATATTTGGTGAAATTGGCAAAAGTTCATATTTGAAATTCAGGAAATGAGTGGCTTTCTTATATTGTTTATTCATTCGGGAAATTAATGGTTCTATGTTAAAATTGAGTATTAAATCTCACCAGGTAATGTTCGTTTAAGTTTCTCTACAAGAATAGATTTAGTTGATGTTTAAAAAAAATTAAAAAAACTAAACTTCATGTAATTTCCAGAAATTAGAATCTAAGGTTGAGAGAAAAATGTTTTCATTGACGCACTTTCTATTTGTTCCAAGTCATGGATTTCACAGATCATGTTTGGACAGAGTGCATGTCACCTGTTCTAGGAAGGTAAATATTTTATTCACGCAGCTGCTGCTATTTGTTATGTTCTATATGTGCATCCAAAAATTCTTATGGTGGGTTCAAATTTCATAGATGGATGCATCTTGATCCTTGTGAAGGAATATAAGACAATCCTTTGCTATATGAGAAAGGGTACTTTCACCTACACATCATCTATATAGTTTTGGAATTGTTTTTTTCAACCTGATGCTTCATAGTTGAATTAACTTTTTGACTTTCATCTATGTTGTTTGCAAATGTTTTTTTTCTTTGAAGGTGGAAAAAGAATTTGAATTATGTAATTGCTTTTGCAAAAGATGGAGTGTATGACGTCACTAAACGTTACACTAGAAAGTGGCATGAGGTAGTCTTATAAATATTTAAAGGATCACTTCACATTAAAAAATATGCGATTATGTGAGTTTTACTGTGCAATAATATTTTCATGTTAAAGGTTCTGTCTCGGAGAAACATTACTACGGAGCCCATCCTGTCTATTATTCTCTCGAACATAAAAAGAGAATGTCGACAGAATTTAACATCTCAAGTGATTTCTGCCCTACAGGAACAAGACAGGAATGAAGCTGAAGCACTTGAGAGAGAGTTGCACTCTAAAGATGATGCTTCAATCTCGTTACCTGCAAGACAGGAATGTATTGCGTAATACATTGGCATGAAATTTTGTTTGTTCTTCTTGAATGGCTATGCGATGTATTGTGCTGTGTCATGGTCAGAATTTACTTGGCACCATATTTATGTATGTAACAAAAATCTTGTCTTGCAGGTAACAAAATTTCTGTCTTGGGGTTAATGAGATGCACCACTCCTCATCACTGGACAAAAAACAAGAGCCTTGGCTTCACCAAGAGTTGAACTTGAGACCTAGAAGTTATAACACCCAAGTCTTACCATCATATTCATGTGTTATGGACTGTACTCTAATTATCATACAGTTTGGACTTTAGGCTGGCAGGTGTCAATTGTGACTCACGAGGTTGAGCCTAGGGCTAGTATAGATGATTTGGTTTTTCAGAAAGCCAGTAATCTATAAGATGAAGGTGTTATGCTATATACATATCAAATTTGCTCAGTACTATTTGGTAGTTGCTATGATTTTTCATTTTATTTATTTATTTATGACTGTGATGCTGTGTATCTACACTATTGGAGAAAAAGTGCTGGACTCTGAAACAGCAAACACACCTTTTTGAGCAAATTTTTCAATCTACATTATCTTTCATGTATGGTAGGAGGTTGGGTTTTCCCATGATATTCCAACCACTTTGCATAGAAGTAAAGCTGACTGCTCGGTCCCAGAGGTTTGTATTTTATTTCCTCTTTATTGGAAATTTTCTTAGGTGTTATTCCAGTTATTTAATTTTCATCTTTACGTATATTGCAGGAAATGGTTACTGTCAGTGTTGATGGTTCTGTGCTAGATCGAATTGCTAAAATTATGTCATATCTTCGCCTTGGATCATCTGGGAAGGCTCTCAAGAAAAAGAAGAAAGAAAGAGAAGTGAAAGGTATGCTATACTGTTTTTTGAAAAAAAAAAACTTGTTGGCCACTGTCACTTTGGTTTGTATTTTTGCATGATATTCCAAGTAACTATTTAATTCCAAATCCATGAGACTTTTCAGAGCATATTCAGCACATCTGTGCTTTAGAACATGACGAAAACGTTAACTCTGGTCTAATGGGTAAATGGGAACATAGCTACCCTAATTAGCATGAATATAATTGCTCTTAACAAACTGGTATGAATTCAAAATTCTTCTCAGAAAGGAAATTCTGCAGTGATTTAATTAATTCTTATCAGGGGTAAGTTTCTAGAGAATTCACGCGACCATTCATGCAATGCATACATGGATTATAATGATATAGTGTCAGCCATTTGGTATCAGATTGGTTAGTTTCGATTTCCTAGGGAGGGTGAGAGGTTTCTACTTTTTCGGATTTCCACACTTGCTGTCTTATTTTGTTTTCTGTATATGTGCATTTCTGTGTGGTGGTTATTTGATTCTGTTTTGTAATGAATGCAGTATCCTTTTTTCCCCTCCTCCAATAATGTTAAAAACACTAACTAATGTACCAACAAACATAACTAATGTACCAACTAGACACAATGTTAAGTGAGTCCTAGGTCAAGTGGTGGATCGCACATGTATGTCTTGTGTCTTAGTTGATATGTTTGTTGGTACACTAGTTAGTGTTTTTAGCATTACTTTTTCTTTTTTCTTGACCTCTGTAATTTCCATCTGCATGTAACACATTGTCAAATCAACAGGAAGGATAGCAATTATTGGCAATGAATATGTTGAAGATGAGACGGTGTCAAAGCCTGACGGTGAAATTTTAAAGAATAGAACTTACAGAGAAAACCTACCTCCACCTCCCCCACCTCCGAAGCAGGGACATCCTAATTCAAAAGAGAACCAAGGCCCTGAAGTTTCTAGAGCTGAAGATGACGACATTTTTGTGGGGGAAATTTTGTTACCTGCACTCTAAAGATGATGCTTCAATCTCGTCACCTGCAAGACAGGAATGTATTGTGTAATACATTGGCATGAAATTTTGTTTGTTTTTCTTGAATGGCTATGCGATGTATTGCGCTGTGTCACGGTCAGAATTTACTTGGCACCATATTTATGTATTTTCTCTCGGAACAAATACATTTGATTTTTTTTTTTCTTTTTTGTATTTGTGTTTGTAGTTGAAGGCCTATTTTCCTTTTGCTACTGTACTTGCCAAAGTGTTTATGAGGGTTTATGCATCACAGAATTAGCACAATTTTAAAAAAAAAATGAAAGAAAAATGAAGCTATAACGGCGTTTTTTAAACGCCACTATAGTGTTATATTTTTAAAATAGAAAACAGTTACCACGACGTTTTTAAAACGTCGTTAAATGTTG